GCTTTCTAACTCAAGAAAAAGAGCAACTATCTCCAGTCTCTGCTGTGCTGGCTTACAGGTTGCTTCGGACTAGGTCAAATGTGCCTCTGGGGGAAGGTGAGGCTGTGACAAGCAAGCTTTCTAACTCAAGAAAAAGAGCAACTATCTCCAGCCTCTGCTGTGCTGGCTTACAGGTTGCTTCGGACTAGGTCAAATGTGCCTCTGCCTCTGAATGCCAAGTGCTGACAGATAAAAATATACTTCTCTGCTGAAGTGGGAATTCAACATTCCATAGTGACTAATTTAGTATGAAGTTTTCAAAATGAGGCCCAAGGGACCTGGAATGATTGAGTTGTGACTTTGCTGATTTTGTCACTGTGAACCAAATTTCCCAGAAAAAAAGGCCACACCTATGTTCAAGACTGGCTGGCTGATTAGAACTTAGTGATTATGGAGAGTTGGAATGTTGCAGATCCAGAGCCAAGGCATCTTGATCTATTATCCATTGCCTACCTTTATCTGACCTAATATCCTGTGACTGTCATGTGAAACCTTCTAAGATACATTAATAGGCCATTAGCTTCCACCAACCCAAAAGCTAAGAATGTCATCAGAGAGTATCTGAGGCCTATAGCAGAAAATTCCCCTGCTTTGCTGTAACCCACCTGTCTGATATTCTTAATTTATGACTTTCTTTTGTTCTGTAACTATAAAGGCTTCACAAAACTGATTTCATATTGGAACATGGAATTTAGGGTAAACTGAATGCATGTTCCCAGGCCATGGTCATTCATATTTGGCTCCAAAATGAACTCTCTCTCACTCCCTTTGAGAGCTGTGTTTTGCATTAACATACTTTATGCACAATGCTTTAGCATAAAAATAATAATGAGAATTCTTTAAAGAATATCACGGGGCTGTGAGATGTCTCAGTAGGTAAAGCACTTGCTGCACAAGCCTGGTGACCTGAGTTCAATCCTTAGAACCCATGTAAAGTGGAAGGAGAGAACCAATTCTACAAAGTTGTCCTCTCTCTCTCTCTCTCTCTCTCTCTCTCTCTCACACACACAAATAATAAATAATAAAATAAAATGAAATAAAGAACATTACCAAAGTCAGCAGATTTCCCCGAAATAGCCCTTCAGATCACAGAACACAGGGTCCTGGAACACAGGAGCAAGTTCCTGGTTCACTGTCTTACTTTATAAGGATGCACCTATGACTGGGGCTAAATACCTTCCCAGAGCAGCCAGTATAAGAAGCACTTTCTGTATTCACTGGTGTTTTCCTCAGTGAAAGTGTCACCCAGTGGCTCTGCCTGGCCTTGTATCACAAGAACAACAATTCCCTCTCCACAGGATACTTTTCTAGACTCAAGTCAGCTCTGACATCTCTCCTTGGCCACAGCCCCAGTTCCTCCAAGCTCTCTGAATTCTTAGAGCTTCTTGGGCCTGGCCAGCTCCTGAGTGCACTCACTGTTCAAGGTCCCTTCTCCATGCTTGTAGCTATAAGCAAACTGTTCTCATAAACATCTACAACAATTAAGATTTTAAACTATGTTTTTGTTGTAGATGTGAGCATGGTACACTTGTCAAATACAATCATTTTTACTTCCTCATTTAGATCATTTAAATTCAAAATACAGACTTTTCAAAATCTTTGCTGTTAAAACCCAGGTAACCCCTAGGTGGCGATCACACTGCTCCCTGACCCAGTCACTGTGAGAGACTTGTATTGAGATGGAACAGACCTGACGCTGGTCCTTACACATTTCCCTATTTAAATATACGCCACACACGCAGGATTGATCCTCAGTATCCATGGGACCCATACCCATGGATTCAACCACTTTCAGATAAAAAATATTGGAAGAAATTGGAAAACATACATCTGTACTAAACATGTGAAGTCTTTTTTCCTAATCTTTACTCCCTAAACAATATAGCAAAACAGCTACACACACAGCATTTATACTGTATTCGATTGCTAAGTAATTTAGAAATTATTTAAATATATGGGAGGGAGGCTGTAGTAATGACTCAGATGGTCAAGAGCACATACTGCTCTACCAAAGAATCCAAATTCAATTTCAAGCACTCACGTTGGGTGGCTCACATCTACCTTAACTCCAGCTCCAGTGGATCAGACACCCTCTCTGGTCTCCATGGACACCCACAAACACATGGCATACACTCTTACAAACACATATGCACATAAATAAAAATAAATATTTTAAAAATTCACACAGGAGGACTGCATAAGTGATCCATAAATACTGTGCCATTTTATATATTGGGCCTGAGCATCCAGAAATGTTGTGTCCTTAGAAAGTTCTAGAACAAAATGCCTCAGCTACTGAGAGCCAACCCTGTGTGTGTCGGTATGTGTGTCTGTGTGTCTCCCTCACTCCCTTTAAATAGGTACGTTCATTATATTCTGGAAATAGGTTATAAAACAGAGAATTCTAAATTTGTCTGAAAGCAACTTTCTAAAAAGTCTCTGAGTTAGATGCCCAAGTCAAACCCTTACAGACAAGGGTTTCACTGAATCAAATGCCAATCAATCTGAGGTTTTGTTCAACAGTTCTCTAACATCGGGTGTAAACAGTACACACTCCCTTGAACTGAAGTGGGAGAAATGTTGGCACCACAGTTAGTGTCACATGGGGGAAAATAAGATATCATCTCTGCTCTAGGGTGTGAAGGAACTCAGGGTTAGAGAAAGTGTGCTCCAACACCCCAGGTTCGCCGAGATGCTGCTGTGACAAACTGACGCATTCCTTCACAAACACACTCTACCCATGCTGGGGTGAGGTGGGATTTCCCCATCACCATGACTGGTTGACTAGGTACACAAAGTGTGGGAAGGTACAGCCTGCTTCCTCCTCAGCTTCCTCTGTTCCACACTCCCTAGAGACTTGTGTGCAAGTCAGTAGAAGACATACAGGACTCCACACAATATGACTGGGCTTGTCATTTGGAGATAAGATTTTATCTAATGTGAATGATTTAGACCTAATGAAACAAAGTGTACCTCTACATCCTCACAATTCCCTGACCTTAGACAGGAACACCCCAACATTTCCTAGACTGATAAAATAGATATGCTTTTTATCCCTGTCTGTCATCTGCATGACTTATTAAAAGCACACATACTTTTAATTTTAATAGTTCATTTAAAAATGGACATAGATTTGGCTGGAGCTGGAGGGTGTTATGTGTCAGAGAAAACTTACAGAGCAGAGAATAAGAAACACTGACGCCATGTTTTGAAGACCCATATTACAGGTATTTCATCAATTTGTAAGATGAGTCTGAAGTCGCCACCAGTTTGGTTCTTAAAAGACTTCTGAATAGTGTGCAGGTACTTAGGCGTGTGGGTCAGGACACTGTTATGAAGCAAGTGGAAGGAAAATATCACAATGCAGCAACAAATGGGATGTGGCGCTAAGGGGACAGTTGATACCAATACCAAATACCAACACCAAATGGGTGTTGTCAGTCAGAAGACAACACGGCACAGGATACCAGTGTTCTGACCAGGCCTCAGACAGGGTGTGTCAATGTGAAAAGGGGGGTTCGGGATATGTGGGAGGGACTGTGAACTTCAGTGACTACATGGAGAAAAACACTGTGAGGCAGCAAGCAACAGCAGTCACAGCTGATATTCTATTTCCGAGTGACCAGCCAAAAGAAAAGGCATAGAATGGATGCTTGATCTTTGGCCACTGTTTAGTACAGTCTCCTTTCCAAACCATGTATAGTCTATAGTTTCTAAAGATAAAGATTAAACATTTTTATATAAAAAAGTAGACATAGAGCTGGGAAGACAACTCAGGCAGTAAAGTTCTTGTTTTGCAAGTACAAAGACCTGAATTTGATCCCCAGAACCTATGTAAAAAGCTGGGTGTGGTGGTGGCAATGGGGAGGCCGAGACAGGAGGATTCCTGGGGCTTACTGGCCTTGCAGGCAGCCTGGCCTACTCGGTGAGCTCTAGGCCAGGGAGAGACCCTGTATCCAAAATAAGGTGGCTGACACCTGAGGGATGGCTAAGGTTGCCACACATGCATACACACATGGGGTGTGCATACCCACACACATGTAGATATGTAGATACGAATACTCACATACCCATAAACATACACTAAACACATATTTTAGAGTGGTGCTTATTATAAGTAAAATGGTTTTCGGTTTTGTACTGCCAACCGAATTTTTAATTCAACTGATGTATTTTCTTCTTTTTTGCAAGTGAGAGAATTGAGGTATTCTGCAACCCTGTTACTACTACTAATCAATCTTTTTATATCATATTTTTCCCCATCAAATTTTTTAAAGGAAATCAGAAAAGTCTATAATGGTGCGTGACCAGCTTTAACACACATGGACTTTCTTCTACTAAGATCGCCACAACAAAGGGAGGCAGATCACACTAAGGCAGGCCAGAAGAATTCTATTTTCTTCTTAGAGAAATAAATGTTTGGCTTGCCTTTTTTTCTTTCATTAAAAAAAAATAGAACAGCAAACTTTCCCCAGTAGAATAAACACATAACTTCTTTCCATATTCTATACACAGTCAAGGAGAGAAAGAAGGGAGGAAAGAAAAAAGATGAAGTGGAAACAAGAGCGAGAGGAGGCAGGACGAGGCAAAGGGAGCAGAGCAGCACAGGATGGGAACAGAGCAGACAGAAGCATCCAGAAACAGAGAGGGCATGGTGGCAGGCGCAGGACAGGAGGGCAGAGGACTGGGCTGAAGCCATTTTCTGTCTTCTTGTGTCCCCTGAGCTATAGGACTCGCACGGGATAATCACTGTCCTTGGAAAGTGGGCACACTTGGCCAACACTTTGGTCTGGAGAATGGCCTCTTTTAGAGACAAGCACCAATCCACACAGGATACACAAGGGAATGCCCCTTTGAGTTGTGATGGCCATGGCCTGGGCAAGGCCATGTGAGCTGTACTTGGATCTGTTTCCCCATCACAGGAAGCAGTCCTGGGCCCAAGGCCTCCTAGCAGAACTTACCTCCTCAACCATCTGCTTGACTTTCTTCTGCTGGCAATGCACCATGTCGTCCAGGTGTCTAATTCGCTCTCGGAGGCTGGCTGATGCCTCCTCCAGCTGCTGATACCTAAGTGAGACAAGAGCCAGCTTCTGAGCCCCGATTTGGAGCAACTACAGCAGCACAGACCGTCACAGCTTCACAGAGGTTTTGCAAGAACACAAAATTAATTCAAGCCACACTCTCTTCAGCTGTGTATTCTAGAGAGGAACTCAGAATCAACTATCTACCCTAGAAAGAACACAGAACTTTTTCAAATTCCCCTTCTCGAGTTGTACTCTGCATAATGACACTTGCTTAACTTTCTGGGGACAGAGAAAGTTTTTTTCCTCCACTTACAAGTATGAGAGGCTCTCTGTTTGGAGTCAATTCAAGATTGGAACACACAGTCAGTGACCTTGATTATGGGAACAGAGAAGCACGGTCTGAGAACACAACAAAGCAAGTGTTGTGGACAGAGATGGAGCAGGACACCCAACATTCTCCTCTGACCTCCATGCATAGGCACACATATGAGCACACACACACACACACACACACACACACACACATTAAAGAACCATGCCCGTCCACCTCTCAGTCCATGATAGTCCAGGGCTGCTCCCCTTACCTTTCCTTGTCAGAATCAGCAATCTCTCCCGACATTTCTGTTTCGTGCTCCAGGAGCTGGAGTTGGAGTTGATGCCGTTCCTAAAACAGACATTGAAACTGGTGGATACTGATGGAGCTGGACAGAAGATGGGTATCAAGAACACCCAGCTCTTGTGTAGTCGAGTCTACAGTATAACCCCTAAATTCCACACACACGTTCGCCCAGAGCTCAGTAGTCTCGGATACTGTTAAATTCTTGATTATTTTCAAAATCATCAAGAAAAAGAGGCTCCAAAATTCTGTTAATATCCTATGGTCTGGCATGGTGTGGTTACTCCTAAAAAAATATACTGTGGTCAGAACAATGGTCCCCCAAAGATACCCAGGTCCTAATCCTTGAAACCTTATAAAGACGTTATCTCATACATATGTGTATAAGATGTTATCTCATATATTTGCAAAGGGAACTTTGCAAATATGGTTAAGGGTCTAGAAATCCTCCTGGATGAAGTTGGGCTCTTTTTTAAATATTCATTTACTATTTTTATTATGTATGTATATGAGTGTTTACATGTGCGTACATGTGCACCACGTGCATGCTGTGCCCATAGAGGTCACAAGAGGACATTGAATCCCCAGGAACTGAAGTTACAGGCAGTTGTGAGCTAACGTGGGTACTGGGAACCAAAACTGGGTCCTCTGCAAGAGCAACCAGTGCTCTTAATTGCTGAGTCATCTCTCCAGGCCCAAGTTAGGTTCTTATTAGGAAATTGAGCTTGGAAAACATTACATGGCTATCTCTAATGCCAGAGGATGGGCCAAAAGCCCAGGAGTACAAGCAGCCCTGCTAGTTACAAAAGGCAAGGAAATGGCTCTCCTTTGGAGCATCCAAAAGGCATCCAGCCCTGCCAACATCTTGAGTTTAGGACTCCAGAACAGAAAAGAATGAATCAGTGTTACTAAAAGCCATCAACTTTGTGGCAATGTGTCACAGTAGTCATAAGAATAAGCCTGTGAATCAGGCTGTGCAAGTCTTATGCTTGGCTAAATATGTTTAAGTTTACTCCAAGCTTACCCCAAACAATAAAAATTTAGACAATTATTTCTTTGAAAAGTGGGAAAGGGTTAATAAAAGTATAATGCCAGTCATCACCAAAATTATACTAGAAATACATCATAAATATAAATGTACTAAGTTTCCTTAAAGTGGAGCTTAGCAAGTCCTGCCTGCTAGGTGGGGAAGATTGTTTTTCTTTCTGCATTGTTCTAAGAACTGTGATGCTTCACCTCTACTCTCTGAAATTCTTCCCAACAAACTCTGACAAGTTACACAGAGTCCAAACCTCTGTTCCACCAAATTAGTAAAATGCAAATCTTAGGGGCTGGAGAGCTTGCTCAGTGGTTAAGAGCACTGGTTGCTCTTGCAGAGAACCTGGGTTTGGTTCCCAGCACCCACACAGTGGTCATAACCATTTGTAACTCCTGTTCCAGGAAATCCGATGCCCTCTTCTGGCCTCTGTGGGCAACACACACGAGGTACATACATACACACTCAAACACATAAAATAAAAACTTAATTAAAGCCAGGCGTTGTGGCACACATCTTTAATCCCAGCACTTGAGGAGGCAGAGGCAAGTGATCTCTGTGAGTTCCAGGCCACCTGGGGCTACAGGGAGACCCTGTCTCAAAAGACAATAA